ATCCGAAATCAATATTTGAGCAAGTACATAACCAGCCAGTGTTCAAAACTATCGCCTCACTTTAGCCCGATTTACAACGGTTTGCAAATAATGTTTTCTAATTTGAGTGGTACGGGTAGGTTTTCGCGGGAAAATCGAGCATGCCGCTGCGTCATTACGTCACGTCTGTAAACATAAAGAAGTTGTCCCAGCTACTAGGCTATCGCATGTGAGGATCCTGCAGGTGGCGGATCGTTTATAGCCTTTTCTCACAACAGCTGGAATAATTAAATGTATCATTTTGATGGCGGATTGTGTGTTTATGAAACACATGTGAATGTGAAACACATGTGAATGAAATTAAATTATATTCCAGTTTTAAATGTGCTTCTGATTACAGATAGCCTGGGATTACAAAGATTTGTATTGTAAAGAAAACCAGTTTGAAGGGAGCATAATTATCTTTTTGGGTTAAAAGATTTTCTTAATATGAAATTCGAAGAGTATGACAATTAGATTAGACTGTGCAGAAATTGAAATCTACAAGCTAAGTGATGTGCAGTTTGATGTGATAAACCGATAAACAGAGCTAACCGATCTTTAGATTTAATCACCATTGGTAGCAAGATTTATGGTAATGATTTTTTCCTCAGTTGGTCAGAACAAACGTGGCAGACTTGTTACTTGTTCAGATGGCGATATACTGTGAATATTCTTATTTGGGTCATATTCCAAGACGTAGGCTAGAATCTGTGATTGCAAAGTACAGTAAATATCCACACCGGTGCAGTGACTGACAGCCACACACAGTCTTCAGAACATTAGGTGCTGGAGCCGCGTCGACTCACAACCCACGCAAGCTAGATAATTCCGCACACAGCTGCAATTCCAGGTTTTCAAACAGAGATGGCGACAAAGAGGCAAAACTTACGGACTGCAGCTTTAATCAAGTAATCAAACTTAAAGGTCCCATGACATGCTGCTTTTTAGATGCTTTTATATAGGCCTAAGTGGTCCCTAGTACTGTATCTGAAGTCTCTTTCCCGATATTCAGCCTTGGTGCAGAATTTCAGCCACTACGAGCCAGTCCCACAATGAGCTTTCCTTAGGACGTGCCATTTCTGTGTCTGTAGCTTTAAATGCTCATGAGGAGGAGAGAGGCGGGGGCAACTGCCATGCTTCGCTCGTTAGCAAGCCATGATGTCTCTCGAGGGAAAAAAAAATAATGCACTCGCCTCGCACGGTAGTAGCTCATTTTCTCATGGGC